CCCCAAAACCCCAAAACCCCAAAACCCCAAAACCCCAAAACCCCAAAACCCCGAGGGCTCTTAAGGGATTGGGAATTTAGATATTGGGTGAATTTTGAAGTTTGTGAAGGAATGGGGATGAGGGTTGAGGGAGAGGGAGAGGGTAAGAGGAGGTGGGAAGAGAGGTTTTGAGGGAGAGAGTTAGAGGATAAGGGTTGTGTTTAGGAAATTGTGGGTGTTGAGGATTTTTCTGGTTGGGGTTTCTTTGAGGTTGCAATTTTTGATGCTAAAGTAGTGTAGGGCTTGTTTGAGGTCTTGAGATTTAGACAATCCTTCAATGAGGTTTGTGAATTCTTGAGGGTTATTGGCCCAGTTGCTTCTATTCACAACTCCACATGAATCAAAAATCAGCTCACTGATTCTTGTATTATCTAATGCATGGGTGAAGTCAGGTACTTTGGGTACTGAAATGATAGAGCTAATAATGTTTAAAGATTTTACATGTCTGAATGCAGAAACGATCTTTTGGAGCTGTCTGAAATTGATTATGAAGTCACTAAAGTTCACTTTGTCTTGAACTTTACAAGAATTTTTGATTAATTCAGGGAAATAGTTTTTTGATTTAGGAAGTTCACTGCTTCCATACATTCTGAGATAATTCACTTTGCGAGGAAAACAACAAAGGATGAAGTTCAGAATGTTTTTATCTCTGTTTTGAAAACAAGAAAATACTATCTTAATCAGTTTTGAAGCTGCAATAGGGTGGATTCTCTTTGCAAACTTGCCACAAGGAATACTCCCTTCAATCAAGAACAATATATCCTTTTTAGAGAATTCCTTTAAATATCATGAATTTTGGTGAGGAGCTGAATAAAGGTCTTTATAAATTCTGTCAGATTTCTTAAGAATTGATCTTTCTTCTATATTCACTTTAGAGCAATGTATCAGGCTTTCATGAACATTGAAAAGATCTTGCCGAGAGAGAATGGAAAGCCAGAGTGGGCTCTAATGGCTTGAGCAAAGAATAAAATTGATTGAAATAAAATTATGAGATTCTCATATTGGTAATTTGGGAAGCATTAGACTCATCATTCTAAGCAAAGGATGGGATTTTTACATTTAAGCTTCAATTGAATCGGCTGAAAACAGAAATATCTGGTAATAGCTTATTGATTTAAATTTCAGGAAGTAATGCTTTGTTAAGCTTGCCAACTTGAAATATTTACTTCTCAAGAGTTTTACTGAGACAAAGTTATTTACAAATATATAATATGGCTGTTAGAAGGAATTATGATTGCAATTGACAGTTAAACTAGCTATAATGATAGCTTATTTCTTAGTTTATGATTATGATAAAGAATATAAAAATCTGAGCCCTTCATTTGTCTACTTATCAAGCCTTGCACAGTTTCATTAAAGTTAGAACTTATCTTTAGAACCTTAAAACTTGAGGATACTTATTATTAATAGTGTAAAAAGCAAATAAAAGAATTAATGATCTTTTTGATCTCTAAATTGAATTAAATTATTCTAGGAAGTTGCTCTAGACTTCAATTTATTATTTACCTTGCTCTTTCCGACTAATCTCTTCCTCCATTTACTAAAAATATAAATACTAATAAATTATCCAATTATTTCCCATATCTCAGGGGTTTTGGGGTTTTGGGGTTTTGGGG